ATTAAGATAATTAAACTATTAACATCAATTGGCAAATGCGATTTCATAGGTGATATTAGCAGAGTTACTGTATGCTAGGCCAAGGTGTCTTTGTGTATCTGGAACCTCTTTTATAATTTTATATGTATTTTTAAAATACACAAATATTTTATGCTAATGAAGGGGAAAAATCGATTTCTTATCTACTAGAGGCTACTTTTCAGCATTTGAGTATTTGTCCTACCAAAATGAGCTTCCCTATTTGTTAAATATTGTTTTGTTTTTCAAAAGCATGCTATTTTGATTATTTGAATCTGAAGACTGAACTACCTGAAAAATAGCATTTGTTTGATTTAAAAAAAAATAGAAGACTAGCTAGGATATCCCTGTGGAAGAGTATTACAAACAACTCAGTGAGACTGTAAATGAATGATGATTTCCTAAAATATCTTGGAAAACAGTCACCAAGGTAAAATCTATTAGTAAAATGTTATCTTCTGATAACATGTAACTGAGAATATTCCTGTCTTAATTTGCTAAAGGGGTGGATGTAGACATCATATAGACTAGACTTTTCAAACAGAGGTCTGCAGACCAGCCTATATCAGAAAGTGAGGGGAACTTGCTAAAAATGCAGTTTAGCCCCACTCCAAACTTACTAGATTAGAAGCTCTGAGGCTAGCTTCTGGCTTCATGGGTGCCATACAAGGACCCCATACTTGGTTTAATGCTCTGCTGTCACAGTCTTGAAATTCCTACTGACTTTTAAGGAAGGGGCTTCCCATTTTTATTTTGCACTGTGTCCTGCTAATGATATCTGGTCCTGGGAAGGAACACTCAGAAATCTGCATTTAAACACCCACTGCAGGTGATTTTGATTCAGGCATCTGCAAACCACACTGTAATACACACCAAAGACTCAGAAAGATTGCTTTTGAAGGTAAAAAAGCAAAGAAATATTACTCTGGACATAATTATCAACTATGAATGCCTACAAACACAGAAGCAACAGAAAGAACCCGTGGGAGATACTAACCACATCATCTTAGAGTTCACAAAAGCCCAGGAGTGAGATTCCAAAAAGCCTAACACTACACTTTTATTGAAGAACATTTCCCAAGTTTTGAGACAGATGGGATTGTACATTTGGTCAGAAGTTCTGAAGGGAAAACAAATCAGAGATTCTAAGTCATTATAAACTTAATGTGAATGCCTGACCAAATTAATGGAAAACCAAAGAAAATCTTCATCTCTGAACAAGGGAGTGTCCTGAGCTCAGACGTTTAAGGTTGAGAAGGTGAATACTAAAGATGGAAGAAAATTACAAGGAAGTCTACAAAGACCTGGAAAATTTAAAGTTCTCAGGACAAAACAAGGGCTATGGATGGAACTGGAGGGTATTATGCTGAGTGAAATAAGTCAGAGGAAGACAATTATATGATTTCACTCAGATGTGGAATATAAGCAACAGTGCATAGGATCATAGGGGAAGGGAGGGAAAACTGAATGGGAAGTTATCAGAGAGGGATAAAACCACAAGAGACTCTTAACTATAGGAAACAGGAATTCTGGAGGGGAGGTATGTAGGGGGATGGAGTAAGTGGGTGATGGGCATGAAGGAGGGCACGTGATGTGATGAGAACTGGGTGTTATACACAACTGATGAATTATTGAACACTACATCTGAACGTAATGATGTTCTATATGCTGGCTAATTGAATTTAAATACAAAAATAAAACAAAATTTATATGTTGAAACTTACAAAAAAAAGAACAAGAGCTTTTAAATAGATTAAGTAGAATAAGAAATGTATTCAAACGAAGTAAAAATCCAATATAAAGAACCTTGCACAAAAATCTGGTAAGATTATCAATCAATCCTGAAGCTTTCCCTTCCCAGAACTGAGCCCTCAATCTTCCCCTAAGAGGGATCACTGAAATCCAGCACAAACACTGGGGACACTCAGTTTAGCCCACTTTTATTAGGCTAGGGTGATAGCACCCATGCAGACACAATGCCAACACACAGGAGGCCTTTCACAGATGTTACCTTGTTACTTTATGCTTGTTAAAATATGAAAATGCTACTTTAGGCTGCCTGAGATAGAAAAATCACATTCAGCTGGACTGTTCCGTGGCACCAAAACATTCCAGGTGCTTCTCCACTGAGTGCTCCCCAACACAGATGAATCTCATCAAGCCCACCTCAGCAATTTGAGCACTCCTAGTATACATTTTTAGTTTCAGCTTCACTGGTTATTAACTGGTCTTGATCCCTGGGAAGTAGCCTTTCTTGGTTGTGTTGCAGAAATACACTTTTCTTATAAACAACCCACACCCCTCAGGAAATGTTTGCAGTTTATGACAAAAGATATAATGTTAAGCAACAAAACAGAGGAAGTAGATTTATTCATATTCTGTTTTGCTTTTCCCCCCCTCCATTATGGAAAATAATTTTCAAGCTGGCAAGTCTAGAACAAACATCATTAGGAGGGAATTGAAGTGCAAGGTAGGTGCAGAGATAATAAGGGAGTGCTTTACAGCTTTAAATTAATTCAAGCCTTCAGGCTGATAAATTCTATCCCAGGATATTTAAATGACTTACAGATGTGATCAAGGAACGTCTGTTGCTAAACTCTTAAGAAATCAGAGGAAAAAGGAGGACCTAGAAGTCTAAAGATGGGCAAATATTACTCCAGCTTCTTATAGGTGGGTGTGTGGGGGAGAGGGGCTAAGGGGATGGATTCTAAAAATTATAAACTTAATGGAAGCCCCTGATCAAATTCTTAACTAAGCAGTCTGTGCATAGGTCCCATGAATACAGAGAACCTGTTTTGTTCGACACCGGATCCTCAGGATCCTTAAACAGGGTGTGTCCTTAGTAGACACTTAAATATTTACTGAATATTAACTGACCATTTAGAAAAGAAGGTTGTGTATGAAGTCAACATAGACTCACTGAGAAATAAACAAGCTGCTTAACTCTGAGCCTCATTATTGGACTAAGCAATAAGGTCAGGTTATGCTGTGTGACAATACCAAAATCTTAGCGTCTTCAATCAAAATGACTTACTTTTTGCTCATAGTTCACGTCCTGTGGCCTGTGGAGTCCACTCCCTGCCATCTTCACTCCAGAACTCAAGCCACTGTCTGAAGCATTAGCATTTACAGAGGCCGAGAGAAAGGAGGAAACCTGTGTGGGAATGGCATACCCACAGCTTCCTTCCACCTGGAAACGATACACACCTCTGCACACATTTGATTGGCCTAACGAGTTATGTGGCCACGCCTATTTTCGAAGAGTGGAGAAAGAAGTATAAGCCTACTTTAGCTGGGAGGAGAACCAGAAGTATCTAGTTCAAAGTACCAATGGCTACCATAGTTATCTGTACAATGGAAATTAGAATATCTACTATAATCACATCTGTTGTTATATGATTATAATATAGCTATCTGTTATAATAACCATCTTGTATTTCTTTTCCATCTTGTACTTTTTACAAGAAATACCATACCACTTTGTTTTTCTAAATCTAATGCTGAGCCACCAGGGCCCAAGCTGGTGAGTAATTTAATACTAACCCTGTTTTGGTGGTGTTGGGAGAAGAGCTGAATTTTTCTCTTTAAAGTCGTACAAATATTCAAAGAGCTTTCATCCTGCCTTTAAAGTAAAAAAAAAGTCACAGCTAAGACGTAAAGTGTCCGATCCCACGTAATCCAGTAGAAAATGGGCTTTTCTTGCTATTTCTGTGCTTAGCTTGGGCACAGTTTGTTTGGAGGTAGAATGGGATTATTGTGAGGCCAAAAGCTTTGATCACCTGTCTAGCCTCCATGATTGCACCTTGCAGCTGACCCTTCTGAAGTACTGTACCCTTCCTAGGTTACTACACAGGAACTTAATTCCCATCAGTGTGCACATACACATTCTTTCACAGTCTTAAGCAGTCTTTTATTTTCATAGCTCTGACCATTTCTGTCTACTCCATACCTCCTACCACTTTCCAAAGACTAGTCTCTCGTCCATCCCACTCTGGAAAGAACTGGTTTAATCCTTTAAATGGATTTCTGTTTTCAGAAATAAGAGGTGGAGAGAGGAGGTTGTGCTTTATCAACTTCTGCTTTAACCCTTGCATATTTCTTAAAATATTTTATTTTCTTTTAATTCAATTAATTAACATAGTGTATTATTAGTTTCAGAGGTAGAGGTCAGTGATTCATTAGTTGCGTATAACATCCAGTGTTCATTACATCACATGCCCTCCTTCATGCCCATCACCTGTTACCCCATCCCTCCACACCCCTCCCCTCCAGCAACCCTCAGTTTGTTTCCTATGGTTAAGAGTCTCTTATAGTTTGTCTCTCTCTCTGATTTTGTCTTATTTTATTTTTCCCTCCCTTCCCCTATGATCCTCTGGTTTCTTAAATTCCACATATGAGTGGAATCATATGATAACTGTCTTTCTCTGACTTATTTTGCTTAGCGCAATACCCCCTAGTTCCATCTACATCATTGCAAATGGTAAGATTTCAGGTTTTTTGATGGCTGAGAACCCTTGCAAATTAATACCCCTGAAGCAAGACAACAAAAGCCTGGCTGAATCCTTGTTAACAGGAAGAAATACAATGGAAGCAAAATACAAGTTAGGCACGTAACAGATTATCTTTAATAATACTTCAAGGTAGTATCTTTAATTTGGTGATTAAATGAAAATATAAGTAAAACCAAATACAGTAGCTGACAGTAAAGCTTTCAATAAATAACAGTTTCTATTATTACTGTCAAATTATGTCTCTAGCTATATTTCCATGTTTAGTACAGTTACTCAACTGGTTATCTGAAGGACAATAAAGTCAAAGTGTCTCTGCTATATGGATTGGGAGAAATAAGCACACTGTAGGACATGGAACATGGAATCTTCCATTTAATTCTGTTCCTTCATTTTACAGATGAGGAATAATCCTAGTACATGAAAACCTTCCTTTAGCAGAGTTTACATTGTTCCCTTTAATGAGTATTATGCAATTCTATTCCTGTTTTTTTTTTTTTTTGTAGTTTTAATGTTATCAAAAATAAACCAGTGGGGGGACACCTGGGTGATTCAGTAGGTTAGGCATCTAATGTTCAGCTCAAGTCATGATCTCAGGGTCCTGGGATCCTGGGATCCACATCGGGCTTCTTGCTCAGCAGGGAGCCCGCTTCTCCCTCTGCCTGCAGCTCCCCTTGCTTGTGTTCTCTCATGCTTTCTCTCTCTCTCTGACAAATAAATAAATGAAATCTTAAAATAAATAAATAATAAATAAACCAGTGGGGATCTAAATTATTTCTAATAAATCTAAGTTGACAATTCTGATATGCTTCCTTCAGTTTTCTTCAAATAATTGGAAATCACTTGACCAATAAAAATACCAAAATTCTACATTGCCTTTTGTTTTTGTTTTTTGGCATTCCACTGGTTTTTTATAATTTAGGGCAATGCACCATAGCAAGAGGTGAGAGGTAAATAACTTTCTTTGGTAAACTAAAAACTATGTGACTAAGAAAGGGGAGAGAGGGAAGTGTTTGGTGAGAAACAGTACCTGAAAGATGACTCATTCTAAGGCAGATCAGTTTTAGGAAAGATTATATTGGGGGTCAGGTAATTGATTCACATGCCTGTGCAAAGGACTCCAGTTGAAAGACCACAGCACTATACCAATGGAAGCTTTAGGGCTTTCTCTAAGGAGAGGTTGGGGTTTAAATCATCTTGTTTGCTTTGAACTGACACCTCTAGAGTTCTTATGCGTTAACTTAAGAGAACCATCTAGCAATATAAAGTCCTGTCTATCACTTAAGAAGGCTTAACTAAATTACTGGAGTGATTCTGTTCTGTTTTTCAATTATTATACTTATAAACTCCATACAGAAACTTGAAATCAAGATTGATCTAAGTTTATTATCAAACTAAAGGGTGACATGCAGTTTCAGTGTTAACAGTCTGAAGAATAAGGGCCAAGAACCTATAAACCACAAAGCCTGACCATAGCTTTCAACCTTGTACTTTATATCCAGTTTCTGACACTTATGAAAATGTCACCAATTCACCAAGTAAAATTAGAACCAATAAAAAGTGAACAAATTTGACTTCTTTTTTAAGTGTTATTTTATTATTACCTTTTCTAATTTGAGAGTCACTGTTGTTACTTATATTAAATATAAAAGTTAAAAGAAGAGAAAAATGGATTTTTCCCCCTGATTATAAGTTTACCATTTGTGTTTTCCAGACTAAAGCCTCCTTTATTTTACTTCATGCTATTAATACAGAACCTCACTATAAACCAAATTTTAATACAGAATTCTGTAACTGCAGAATTGGAATAGCAAGTTATGTGCAGTGATACTCACTACAACATTGTTTGAAAAATAAACACCTGGAATCTATGAATGGGAATTTCTTAAATACATTATACTATATCTATACCACAAAAGATTAAGTAACTTTCTTAAAAGTGATATAGGAGAATAGATCTGAATTTGGAAAGATGTTCATAAATGTAAAAAACATGTTACAGTAGGTATGGTATGATCCCATTTATGTTATTAAAATATTTGTATGCATACATTTTTTAAATACATAGATAAATTCTGGAAAGATAAATTAGAAATAATGAACAGTTATTGCTTCCTGGGAGTGGGATTAGGGAACTTACTGGGAAGGAGACCTTTTCTTCCCATCTTCCATCTTATTCTATGGATGAAATTTTTGGATTATTTATTATGTAATAAAATTTATTTTGCCATTCCTCTATTTTCTCATGGTTCCCACCAAGTATTAACATATAGTTTATAAACCCTGCAAGGAAGATAGCCCTGTTTTTAAATGATGAGGAAATGTTTATCACAATCTATTTCAATATTAATCTTTTAAAGAATTTGTTCCAATAAGATATCCACAGCAAAATAAAATAAATGAAGAAATTGATAAGAAGAATTCAGGGAAGAAAAATGGCTTAAAGCTAAAGGTTAGTACAAAAGAATCCTGTTAAATGGCTTGCTCTAGTTGTTAGAGATGGGCTATTGATAAGTTCTGTGCTTCCAGGAGTCCAAAGAAAATGGGTAAAAGTTATCAGCTTTGAGAATCATGTAATTTTATCTTTGTGATAAGGTCTAAGAGCAATTTATACTACGCTTATAAGCCAAGAAAGTGTCTAAGTAAGAGAAGGGCAAATCAAAGTGATTGGATCCCAGGTCAATGAGGTTTTTCTCCAGAGCATATCAATTATGGAAAACTTTTTAAATAACTTTAAAAAAAATAAATGATTTTGTTTCCTGATATAGTTAATCATGCAGACAGAGGTATGTGTAGTTAAAGAGCTGTTAATTCTAAAGTCAGAGTTTCAAAAGAACAGTCATAGAACCGTGAGCTATAAGAAATGAGGAAACCTATGTTGTCCTGGTAAAATGTTATAATACAGTAAGAAGTTTATTTTTATGTAGATATTAGGTCTTTTTGCCATTACAGCAAGGTATTTTTTTATTTGAATTCAAGTTGATTCATATATAATGTAGTTTTGGTTTCAGGAGTAGAATTTAGTGTTTCATCACCTATATATAACACCCAGCGCTCATCCTAACAAGTGCCCTCCTTAATGCCCATCACGCATTTAGCCCATCCCCCCATCTTCCTCCCCTCCATCAACCCTCAGGTTGTTCTCTATAGTTAAGAGCCTCTTATGGTTTGTCTCCCTCTCTGTTTTTATCTTATTTGATTTTTTCCTTCTCTTCCCCGGTATTCATTTGTTTTGTCTCTTAAATTCCACATATGAGTGATATCACATGGTATTTGTCTTTCTCTGACTAATTTCGCTTAGCATAATGTACTCTAATTTCATCCATGTTTTTGCAAATGGCAAGATTTCATTCTTTTTGGTGGCTGAGTAATATGGCTGAGTATTATTCCTATAGTCTTTAACCATTCATCAGCCAATGGAATTTGGGCTCTTTCCATAGTATGGCTATTGTTGATAATGCTTCTATAAACATCGGGGTGCATGTGCCCCTTCAAATCTGTATTTTTGTATCCTTTGGGTAAATACCTAGTAGTGCAATTGCTGGGTCGTAGTTCTAACTTTAACTTTTTGAGGAACCTTCATACTGTTTTCCAGAGTGGCTGCACCAGTTTGCATTCCCTCCAACAGTGTAAGAGGTTTCCCTTTCTCTATATCTTTGCCAACATCTGGTGTTTCCTGAGTTGTTAATTTTAGCCATTCTGACAGGTGTGATGTGATAACTCATTGTGGTTTTGATTTGCATTTCCCTGATGATGAGTGATATTGAGCATCTGGATGTTTTCTTTGGATAAATGTCTGTTCATGTCTTCTGCCCATTTCTTAATTGGATTATTTGTTTTTTGAGTGTTGAGTTTGAGTTCTTTATAGATTTTGGATACTAACCCTTTATCAGATATGTCATCTGCAAAAATCTTCTCCCATTCCATAAGTTGCTTTTCGTGTTGCTGATTGTTTCCTTTGCTGTGCAGAAGATTTTTATCTTGATGTAGTCCCAATAGTTCATTTTTGCTTTTGTTTCCCTTGCCTCTGGAGATGTGTCTAGTAAGAAGCTGCTATAGCAGAGGTCAAAGAGGTGTGTTCTCTAGGATTTTGATGGATTCCTGGCTCACATTTAGGTCTTCCATCCATTTTGAGTTTATTTTTGTGTATGGTGTAAGAAAGTGGTCCAGTTTCATTCTTCTGCATGTTGCTGTCCAGTTTTCCCAACACAGGTATGGGCTTTTCATTCTCATTACTGGCATTACTGAAGAAAGGAGACAAAAAGACTTCAAAATGACGAAGGACATGATAAACTGGATTTGAAAGAAATTGAAGAGATAAAATATCCTAAACCATGTCCATATTACATGATATCCAAAATTTCTGAAAAGCTGCCTTCTCCCTTTTCCTCCTTGATTATAAACTTCAGACTTATTTAACTACCTTGTCTGAAACTGACAGTTGGTTTGGTGATGTCTGGACACTCTAAATCATTTTTACAATACCAGTACACTATCAGTTAGCATGAGGTGACCTTTACCAGAACAAAATCTTCCTGCCTATGTCTTAGCAAGTGTTGACAAAAGTATGTGAGAACAAGAGTGATAATAAGATTTATCATATTGAGGCACTGGGTAATAGGAATTCTTCTATGAATTAACAACCACAGTTGACATTATTTGTGCATTTGTGCAAATACCAACACAGCCTAACATCTGTCCTGTCAGACAAAAAAGACGCAATTCATTTGATATATTTAGTGCCCCCCTCATTCCTGAAAAGGTCACTTGCTCTTTAACCTACTATACATGATTAAACTAGCTTCCAGCAAATAACAATACTAGAAACTAAGGCCTACTATTCAGATGATACTGACAGTGAAAGCACCATTTGTCTTATCTTCTAAATAAATTGTTTCAGAATGTGAAAGCCCCAAATATTTACCACTACAGTGTAACAACTAATACTATTAGCACTCCATACATAAACACATGGACCTTTACACATTTAACATTTTATGCTATTTTTTTCTCTATTTCCAGATGGGTTCTCTTTCACTTGAAAATATTTCATATTTCTAAGTAATTCCCATGAATTTCTTCTAGTAAGCCCTGTTTTATTCCCTTCAGCAATATAGATGCTATGTGAATCTGGTGGCTCTGAGATTTGGCTCTTACAATATGAAATAAAACACTTTTTGTCTAATTTCTAATGAGTTGGATATTTTTACTTCATATAAAGGTGTATGTATCATTCTAGGAATAAAAGGGAAGAGCATTATAATCTTCCTTCTCTCAAACTTGCCAACTTAATTTTGTCCTCCAGCAAAAAAAAAAAAAATATATATATATATATATATACGATGATGGCTATATAGACAAAAATGTTATTTGAAATCATGTATTCAACATATCTTGATTATCTTGTCTGTGTAAGCCTTTGAGGTAAGTAATCTCAAAGATGCAAAGATGTATCAGACCCAGAAACTTCTTTTAGTTCACAGTTTAGTAAATGAGCCAAGAAGATGTAAGGATGTATCAGACTGAAAGTTTTCCTTTAGTTCATAATTTCATAAAGGAGCAAAGACAGGCATATTAAGTAACTTCAATGCTAGGTAGGAAAGAGTTATCAAAACAAAACAAAAAAAATAAGTTATCACCTATGGATAGATCAATGGAATGAAATATATAGTCTAGAAATAGAACCATACACATATGGTCAATTGACTTTCAACAAAGTTACAAAGACAATTCATTGAAAAATCAGCCGAAGCAACTTCTTCCTAGAAACATTGCCAAAGGCAAGGGAAGCAAGGGCAAAAATGAACTATTGGGACTTCATCAAGATTAAAAGCTTTTGCAAAGCAAAGGAAACAGTCAACAAAACCAAAAGACAACCTACAGAATGGGAGAAGATATTTGCAAATGACATATCAGATAAAGGGCTAGTATCCAAAATCTATAAAGAACTCATCAAACTCAACACCCAAAGAACAAAGAATCCAATCAAGAAATGGGCATAAGACATGAACAGACATTTTTCCAAAGAAGACATCCAAATGGCCAACAGACACATGAAAAAGTGCTCAATATCGCTCGGCATCAGGGAAATCCAAATCAAAACCTCAATGAGATACCACCTCACATCAGTCAGAATGGCTAAAATTAACAAGTCAGGAAACGACAGATGTTGGCAGGGATGCGGAGAAAGGGGAACCCTCCTACACTGTTGGTGGGAATGCAAGCTGGTGCAGCCACTCTGGAAAACTGTATGGAGGTTCCTCAAAAAGTTGAAAATAGAGCTACCATATGATCCAGCAATTGCACTACTGGGTATTTACCCCAAAGATACAAAAGTAGGGATCCGAAGGGGTACGTGCACCCCGATGTTTATAGCAGCAATGTCCACAATAGCCAAACTGTGGAAAGAGCCAAGATGTCCATCGACAGATGAATGGATAAAGAAGAGGTGGTATATATATACAATGGAATATTATGCAGCCATCAAAAGGAATGAGATCTTGCCATTTGCAACGACATGGATGGAACTGGAGGGTATCATGTTGAGTGAAATAAGTCAAACAGAGAAAGACATGTATCATATGATCTCACTGATATGAGGAATTCTTAATCTCCAGAAACAAACTGAGTGTTGTTGGAGTGGGGGGTGGGGTGGGAGGGATGGGGTGACTGGGTGATGGACACTGGGGAGGGTGTGTGCTCTGGTAAGCGCTGTGAATTGTGCAAGACTGTTGAATCTCAGATCTGTACCTCTGAAACAAATAATGCAATATATGTTAAGAAAAAAAAAAGAAGAAGAAGAAGGTAGCGGGAGGGGAAGAATGAAGCAGGGGAAATCGGAGGGGTAGACGAACCATGAGAGACGATAGACTCTGAAAAACAAACTGAGGGTTCTAGAGGGGAGGGGGGTGGGAGGATGGGTTAGCCTGGTAGTGGGTATTGAGAAGGGCACATTCTGCATGGAGCACTGGGTGTTGTGCACAAACAATGAATCATGGAACACTTCATCTAAAACTAATGATGTAATGTATGGGGATTAACATAAGAATAAAATTTAAAAAAATAATAAAAAAAAGAAAAAAGAAAAAGAAAAAGGCCAGTCTTTCCAACCAAAGGAACCTTGACATATGCACAAAATTAACTCAAAAATGAATCATGGACCCGAATGTAAAATTAAAAACTATAAAACTAGAAGAAAACAAAGGAGAAAATATTTATGGCCTTGGGTTTAGCAAGTAATTTTTAGAAATGACACCAAAAGCACAGTCCATAAAAATATGTATAAACTGAACTTTATAAAAATTTAAAAACTTTTGCTCTCTGAAAAAAACTAAGATATGAAAAGTACAACCACAGACTTGAAAAAATATTTGCAAAACATGTATCTAGTAAAGGACATGTATTCAAAATATTTAAGGTACTCTCAGAACTCAGTAAGAAAATAATATCCCCCCTAAAAAAGAAAGAGAAAATAAGGAACCCAATAAAAAGTATTCACAAAGATTTGAACAGACAGAGGACCACAGAAGATACAAGGATGACAAATAGGCACAAGAAAAGATATTCAGCACCATTAGCCATTAAGGAAATAACAAATTAAAACCACAATGAGATACCAATATACAGCTATCAGAATGCCTAAAATTAAAAACAAAACAAACAAAAAAAAACAGACAATTCCAAGGGATTGCAAAAATATAGAGCAACTGGAACTCTCCAACCCTGATATAAGAATGCAAAATAGTTTGAAAAATAGTTTGACAGATTTTTATAAAGTTAAAACTTAACACTTACCATACAACCCATAAATCCCACTCCTAGATATTTATCCAAGAGAAAGGAAAGCTTATGTTTACATAAAAATCTGTATATCAGTGTTTACAGTGGCTGCATTCATAATACACAAAAAGTGGAAATGATCCAAATGACCTTCAACTCGTGAATGTATTAAGAAATTGTACCTTTACACAATGAAATAATATTCAGCAAGCAAAAGTAATAAGCTGGTGATTTACAATATAGATTACATAAATAAATATCAAATGCACCATGTTAAGTGTATGAAGCCAGACTTGAGACTAAATACGCTACAATTCCATTTATGTGACACTCTGAATAGGGACAGAGAACTGGTGAGTGAGGGTCTCAGGGTAGGGAGGAGGTGATTCCCGTAGAGGAGACTACAGGAAATTCTGAGGGATGAAACTTCTCTACCTTGATTGTGGTGGCTATAGAACTACACGTATTTGTCAAAACTCATAGAACTGACACTGAAAAGGGTGTTGTGAGTTCAGAGGAAGGAAGAAATCACAATTGATCAAGAAAAACTATGTGGAGCATTACACAATGGCACTAAGGGCAGGTTATGGAAGGAAAAGCCCTGACGGAAGAAGCTGCAGGGATCAAAGTGAAAATTAGTGGTAAGGAACTGGGGAATACTAGCTAATACAACCTGCAGGAAGTATTGACTGGTGTGAAAAAGAAGTTAGCCTGTCTATGATACCCTGGTAAACACTGGAGAATTCTCACATGGAAATGACATACATTTGTACTCAGGAAGAAGAACTAAGTTAAGGTTTCTCAAAATGGCTTGTGCATTAGAAATTCTATTTCTGGTTTAGTTAATAGGAGCAATGGCCCAGAAATATGCATTTTTAACAGAACCTTAGACCTTGTCCCCAGCTAATTCTGGTGTGGTTTACGCATGAAACTGAAAAAAAAAAATTGTGACATTTTTCAACCAATCAAGTGGTTTCATTCATTGTTTGACCAAAAGTCCTAAGATCTTCCCTCCACCATATGGGTCCTTACAGGTAAGAGGTTCAGGAAATCATCTGCAGCCTCATCCCTCAAATGCTACCGGCCTTTTGAGCAGATGGAGCCACTGGAGCAGTGGTCACCAAAAACACCTTGGTGTCTATATGCGTATAGACAGCTTGTATTTATTTCTGGAGGTGTCCGATGTGGTGGAAAGAATGCTGAAATCAGAGTTGTGAGGCCTCAGTATCTTGCTATTGACTGTGTGACTCTGAAGCATCTACTAAACTTCTCAGAGCCTAAAGTTATCAACAGTGTGCATGTAAATTAAAATGCCTAACCTCTCAGCCTCAGGGTGACTAAGAGGTTCATAAGAAATCTTGTTTGTGAAAAGCTCTTTGAAATAATCTACCAAGTGCTATACAAATGTGAGACATTTTAATCCCTTTGGGTTAAATCATTAAACCTCTAGACAACTCTATTTAAATGCAAATATGTTATATAAGAAGGTATAACATTAGCACATATATTAGAGTTTTAGCTATGCATTAGAGTACATGGTTTTTTTCACACAATTTTGACAGTGAAGAAATGGGTGGTAGGGCCATTCCATTTTGATAGGAGAGGGGAAGAAACTGTACAGAAGTAAAATGTCACTCCTACCCTCTGAGGGTATCTGGTTGGGCCTGAGAATTAAATTGACATAATATAGGTTATTATATAACCTATATATTACTATATAATGTAGGTTGACAGGAGAAAAACATACAGATTTTATACAAGTTTTGCATGACACAGGAGCCCTAACAAGGAAATGAAGAACCGAAGAAGTGGCAAAACCTAAATGTCTTCTATACTGGGTTGAAGAAAGAGAAGCAATTGTGGAAAAATAACTAAAATATATGGGGAGGGGCGCCTGGGTGGCTCAGTCATTAAGCGTCTGCCTTCGGCTCAGGCCATGATCCCAGGCTACTGGGATCGAGCTCTGCATCGGGCTCCCTGCTCTGCGGGAAGCCTGCTTCTCCCTCTCCCACTCCCCCTGCTTGTGTTCCCTCTCTCGCTGTGTCTCTCTCTGTCAAATGAATAAATAAAATCTTAAAATATATATATATATATAAATAAAATATATGGGGAGGCTAAGAGAAGATGAATATTTTTGTAAGATTTGCTTGTACAGAGTTCTCTTAGCCTTGAGTACTCAAAGTAATTCTTATGGCATATTTTGGGGTGGCCTATATGTCTGCTACCATTCAGAATCATAAAGAAAGGAAGAAGAGTTAGGAAAAATTCAATGCATGGATCTGAAGGTAAGTCATAGGAAAGTTAAATAGTGTGAGGTCCAGAAGTGGACATGAAAGGCTCTGAAAGCCAATGGGCTTACTTTGAGGTATTGCCTAGGCTTGGTTCTGATTCCTCAGGGGAAAAATATCTCTGCCAACGGTGTATCTTTTTCATTTCTTGGAGGCAACAGTGAAGGGAGTAGTAGACCTAGCTGAACAACCTATTTGCAACTTCTTTGTGTGTGTGTGTGTGGTGTGCATCTCACATATACATATATCTGGCACAAAGAATGTTGTGTGGATATACCAAACTGTGTGGAACACAAAGCAGCATCCCTACTAGGTTGGAGAGACCACTGTATGTATGAATCCCCCACTTTATATGCTCTCGGATCTTACATTTAGATCCTAGTGTACTGAGGGAAGAAATGGAATCTGCTGTTACGCAGTTTCTACTTTAGACCCTCCCAATAAAATGGACTGGGCTATGACATTGCCAGAAAAGAACATGTAGGTACCAGGTTTCACAGATGCTCAAAGGCATTAAGCCTCCAGAAAATGAGAAAAGGACATAAGTCAAACCTGGCCCTGTAGCTTATTTGCACATACCCAATTTCATTCTCTCCTCCCTTACAGTTCCAAGTTGAAGGCTCTTCTGCAACACTAGGAAAGTTAGAGCCCTGGAAGCCCTACATACAAATAGAGAGGGCAGTGCCACAGTTTAAGGAAGAAGGCTCCTCTGACATGCATTTAAATCACTTACATGGCTTGAGAGTTCCTTGGTTTAAAGGCAGTTAATTGTGTTGACCCTTGGGGTTTACGTGAGCTTCTCAATTATAAAGACAGCACTTTCACCTTTGGGATTCCCAGCCTTGAAAACTGCTGTAGGCTCTCAGATCTCTCATAACTTGCCCAAATAGGAGCCAGCTTCAACTGAGGTACATTAGAACTTCCCCTGGGCATTTCCACCTGCCATCCATAAAGGCACCTAAACAAACAAGAGCTGTGAGAGAAATACAAGAAAATCATAGAAAAATAATCTTGTTTCAACAACAAGTACCTGTCTGGACTCTTATTCAATCACTGTCAAAGGAGAAATGAGTTCCAAATGTAAAATTATACAAATTATTCCAAGCCTTCTGTACTTGTCTCCATATTCATATCTGACATTTGGCAGTAAGACACAAATTCATCTCTTTAGAACTCATTTTCTTTCTTTTAAACATTAATTAATGAATGGAAAAATTCTGAAAAGTAGAAGGTCCCCATGACAGCAAATGCAAAATGTGCAAAAGGATGTAGAGAGGGAAAAGAAGCTTCTCTTTCCTCCTAGCCCCCAGTCACCTATTCTTTTTCTAGAACTTAACTCTCCCCAGTTGTAGAGACAGTCTTCATATATAAACATATGTGAGTATATCCTTTCTTTTTTTTCAAATAGTATGTTATACATTTTCTTTTGCACCTTGCTTCCGTGCTGTATCTATATCTCTATGTCTCTATATGACAACCATTTTTGTCTTCTATGTGAATTACATATAAATTTCTTTTTTTAAAAAAGATTTTATTTATTTATTTATTTGACAGAGAGAGAGAGCACAAGCAGGGGGGAGAGGCAGGAAGAGGGGGAGGGAGAAGCAGGCTCCCCGCTGAGCAGAGAGCCCAATGTGGGGCTCAATCCCAAGACCCTAGGATCATGACCTGAGCTGAAGGCAGCCACTTAACTGACTGAGCCACCCAGGTGCCCCTTACATATAAATTTCTCATATTATTTTTAATAGCTGCATTGTGTTTCTTTGTGTGGCTGTAGCATAATTTCTTTAACTGAGCCCTTATTCATAGTTATGAAGCTCTTATATTACAACACCGAATATCTTTGTGGTAATATAATTTCACTCAAGTGCAAGAATACACTAGATAAATTCCGAGAAGAGGAAATGCTGGGGAAAAAAAGAACATGTGTTTATATACATATGTATATATATATATACATATATATATAAAAGAGCATGTGTTACATATATATATATTTATATATAAATATATATATATATGGCTGCACTTCCCTCCCTAAATTATTGTACCAATTCAAACTCACACCAATAACATCTAAAATTTCCTACTTCCTTATGTTACTGAACTTGCAGATCTTTGATGATTAGGTATATTAATATGAGAATTTTAATGTAACTTTCATTTGCCTTCCTCCTAAAATAATGGAGATTAAAGATCTTTTTGTATGTTTAAAAACCATTTTATTTCTTTTCTGTGAACTTTCCATTTTTTAGCCTTTTTTTTTATTGTGTTCTTGGTCTTGTTGATTTGTAGGAGCTGCTTTATATTAATTGTTAAGTGTAAGTATTTTTCCTAAGGTTTTTGTCTTTGTTTTCTGGTTTTTATTCTGGGTTGTTGTCTTTTGATGTTGTTGTCTTTTGCCAAACAGCATTCTTTTTTAATTTTATTGTATTGCCATATTAACAATTTTTATGACTTTGTGTTATATTTAGAAAGTATTTCCCAATGCCAAATTAATTTTTAAAATTATCTCACTTTTTCTGTCTTTATGGTTTTATATTCTTTACTTATAAATTTCATCTGGAATTTTTTTGTATAAGAAATTAAGGAGGTATACATAAAAACATTTTCTGTAGAAGTGTATCTAGTTGTCCTAACACCAATGTGAATAATCCATTTTTCCATGATGTGAAATGCTGCCTATATCATAATCATACTCTTTTATCTATTTGGCTTTATTGCTAGATTTCTATTTTTTTAAAAGATTTTATTTATTTATTAGAGAGAGAGTGAGCGAGGGAGAGCACATGAGCTGGAGAAGGGGCAGAGGGAGAGGGAACAGCAGGCTCCCCACTGACTAGGGAGCCCAATATGGGGCTTGATCCCAGGTCCCTGGCATCATGACCTGAGCCGAAGACAGATGCTTAACTGACTGAGCCACCCAGGCACCCTATTGCTAGATTTCTAAAATAATGTTTTAACTTCATAATAGGGCTTACAATTCCAAGTTGGTAACTCAAATTCTCTCTTTTTTCTTTCCTTTCTTCCCTATCCCTCTCATGTGCATGCTCTCCTTCTTTTTCTAAAATACCCTGCTGTATATAAATGGCTACAGACACATGAACAAATGCTCAACATCACTCAACATCAGGGAAACACAAATCAAAACCATGATGAGATACCACCTCACACGTGTCAGAATGGTTAAAGTAACAACTCAAGAAACAACAGATGTTGGTGAGAATGTGGAGAAAGGGGAACACTCTTGCACTGTTGGAGGGAATGCAAACTGGTGCAGACACCCTGGAAAACAGTATGGAGTCTCCTCAAAAATTTAAAAATAGAACTACCCTATGATCCAGCAATTGCACTACTAGGTATTTACTCAAAGGATACAAAAATACTGATTTGAAGGAGCATATGCACCCTGATGTTTTTAGCAACATTATAAACAATAGCCAAATTATGGAAAAAGCCCAAATGTCCATCAACTGATGAATGAATAAAGAAGATGTGGCGCACACACACACACACACACTGGAAAATTACTCAGCCATCAAAAAGAACGAAATTTTGCCATTTGCAATGATGTGGATAGAGCTAGAGTGTATTATGCTAAGCAAAATAAGTCAGTCAGAGAAAGACAAAAACCATATGATTTCACTCATATGTGGAATTTAAGAAATAAAACAGATGAACATAGGAGAGAGGAAAGAAAAAAAAGAGAGGGAAGCAAATCATAAGAGACTCTTCACTATAGAGAACAAACTGAGGGTTAATGGAGGGTGGTGGGGGGGGGATGGCTAAACGAGTGATGGGTATTAAGGAGGGCACTTGCTGGGATGAGCACTGGGTGTTATATGTAAATTCTACTCCTGAAACCAATATTACCTTATATGTCAACTAACTAGAAATTAAATAAAAACTTGAAGAAAAAAGAAAACACTTTCTGAAAGCCCTATTTGACATCATGTTCTATACCCAAGAATAGCACCAAAGGGGGCTCCATAACATCAATATGAAAAAACAATTACAAAGATTAAAATAACACTTTTACTATAAAATACATGTACAACTCTCTTTTTAGAATGGAAAGATTTAAAAATAAAGTATAAGAATAACACCCATGCTTCACAATTATACAACCTTTGAACATCTTCATCGATTTCTCATATGTTGTTATTTTCCTTTTCTTTTACTGCCAGAATATTTTAAATAAAATTATAGACACCATATCATTACTTCTACAAATACTTCATTATGTCTCTCTAATGGAGAAGAATTTTTAGAAATATAATCAAAGGACCATTATCATACCTAACAAAATTAGCAATAATTATTTTGTATCAGACAACATCCAGTCCATGTTCCAAACTTCCTTCCCCGTTGTCTCAAAAACATCTTTTTATAGTTGATTTACTTGAATCTGAATCCAAACAAGTCCCATATATCATATTTGAATGATTTCTGTCTTAAGTTTCTTTTAATTCATAATACTTTCCTTCTTTCTACTAGTTCTCTCTAACTACCCTCCCCTACAAGGTCATTCCTTCTAAACCAGGTCATTTGTCCTATAGGATTTTCTCACACTGTATATTTGATTGATATGTTTGTGAATTAATTTAGCATATTTGTCTAGACTTATTTTCTATATATAGTGGTTGGAACTATAAGCTTGATTAGATTCAGAAATTCAGGTTTTATTTTATTTTATTTGGTAAAAACACATAAGTGGTTCTATGTGCTTCTTATTGTATTACATTGGAGACACATAGTATCTGACTTTCCTACTTTTTGTGATACTCAGAGTGGTCAAGAAATTCAGCTTCATCCATTATAAAGTTGCCATTAACCATTTACCTCATGCTTTTAGCAGCCATTGATGATTGCTATCTAGATCAGTTATTGTATTAGGGTTTGCAAAGTGGAGATCTTCTAATTCTATTATTTCTTATCTATTTATTAATTACATATCTTCTATACATCTCTGTTAATATGATCAATATAAAACACTTATTTTCCCAATACTTTTATTATATTTTTACCTCATCAGAAAACAAAAGACTATTATTCAAAATAATGGCAATAATTTTATAGTAGGAAATAAAGAAACAAGTAGGTTTTTAGTTGTCCTTTACTGGAAAACAACAACAACCACTTAATTTCCTGGAGCACATAACTATATTGTCAAAAAGAACAATAACCACCTAGGACACATGTATAAAAATGTGTAATATTAGCAAATTACATGAGAATACAATGATATAATGCAATATTATATATTTAAACAAAAATTTGTTAAAATTTTTATTAACTTTAATTAATATAAACTCCCACTGGAATATAATTACCTGAAGACAAAGATTTTTGTCTATTTTGTTCAGGGCTGGATTTGCAAGACCTAGAAAGATGCTTGACATCATAGTCTCTTGGTAAATATTTATTGAATCCATATTGAATTAATGAGTGAGATAATTTCAATAAGTAAGTAGTTAACAGTAATTACATCAAACGATAAGAGAATGAAGAGGAAAATCCACTCTGGTTATTTGTGGCAACAGTTAATAGTTCACTGTGAGTTAAGAACTCATATTAGAAATCTGTGTGTGTTACCATATGTAAAGTTTAGTGGCTTTAAATTATTTACCTACTTCCCTTGCTTATAAAGTACAAACGTCTCTGGGTTGAAGAATCAGTGGCATAATTTTTATTTTTCCCATTAGTAGCCTCTAATCCTATTTTTCTAGTCAAAAGTAATTTCAAATTAAGCATCCTCCATGCTTAACAAATACTTGTTGGATGGATGAATACAAAATTCATTCATTTACTGTGGTTGCTCATAAAATATGTACCCAAGTTTTCTTTATAGAAAAGGAGTGTTTTAAGATTTCTTGCTATTTTACTTAATTATACTATTACTAGGATGGGGATAAATATATTCAAAAGTCCCTTCTGAAGGCACAATCTTAAAAAATCTTGTGATGCCACATATATTTTATAAAGAAAGAAAAATGCCCTTGCTTAGAAATACTGGTCTACTGATTCTCCTCCAGCTTCTCTGTTAACTCTTTCTTTTTTTATGTGCCTCCTCTTCTTTTCCTCTCTTACATGTAAGGGATAATGTTCACTGTTTCTCTTTTAGTGAATTTATTGACTTTTACATGTCAACAAAGAGTTACTCAACTTTTTAAATTTTTTAAAAAGTTTTATTTACTTAAGTTATCTCTACACCCACCATGGGGCTTGAACTTACAACCCCAAGATGCATGCTCTTGTGACTGAGCCAGCCAGATGCCCCAGGTGTTACTTAAATTTTTATCTCTCTTTCTCTCACACACATTCACTCACACAAACTATATCACCAGTTCTGACCTTTTTTCCTGTGCTCTGGGTCTGCAATTTCAGTTGTACAATGCTTCAAACATGCCTAAAGCCAAGTCCCAAATAGAATTCCAAAACAATTCCACTGTATTCTATAGAAATTATTATTTCTGTCAATGATACCATTTTCTTAGTCTCTCAAGCTTAAAACCTTGTTATCACCCTTATCTCCTTGATACATTTGCCATCCACCTACAATTAATCACTAAATCCCATTGGTTTGACTTCCTTAATTTCTTGAATTGGTCTCTTCTGTTTCATTCCCATGATCCCTTCTCTCATAACCTCGCAGCTGAATTATCATAATAGCCTCTTAATTGGACTTCAGTCTTTCTCTACTCCAATTTTGTCTTCTGCTACAAATTAATCTTCCTAATGCACAACTCTAAGTACATCACCTCGCTGCTCACAAAACCCAGTAGCTCCCATTAGAGGATTAAGTATAAACTATTTTGATTGGGATATATGACCTTTGTCTGAATCTTCCATAACATAAGCCCCAATGTCCAGCCAGAGTGAGTTATTTCCCACTTCCCAAAAGAACTCTAGGATTACCTGCCTCTATTTCTTCTTGTTTCTCTCCATCTGGAATGTCCCCATTCCACAGCCCTTTTCTTATCCTGGTCCATAAAATGCCCTCAAAACACTGCACAAATGCCCTAGGCTTCCAGAAGACTTTTTATTCATGCTTTTGTCATATTGCACTCTCTCTCTTTTCTGAATGTTTACAACACTTAGTAATTTCTTCTCTTAGAATAATTATCACATGTGACTTTATATTGTGATGATTTGTATACTTACTGGATATCCCCTTTAGGAAAGAAGACAAGCTTTTACATCTATTCACATTTCTTTTTTCGTCACTCACAAGACATGGTATGGTATTTTGCATACTGTAAAGCCTTACAAGTATATGTTCAATTAACGTCAAGAGGTGTTTGTGGTAATTCTGAAAAATCAGCTATACTACTTCTACGTTGACAGAAACAGCCCTGTTAAAATGGCTACTGTACTGACATCAGCCAACTGTTACCCAGCACTGACTCAGAGAAGGGCAGTAAAGTCAAAATGTACAGTAATGTTCACTATGAAAACTTAAAAGACAGGAACTATGCTTTCTGCTTCCTTTTTACACATCACATAGAAGCTAATACAATGCTGATCATACTGTGACTAATATATTCTTGATAATTAATATAAACTATAATATTTGTTTCCAAAATTTCTCAAATAATAACAAAAGAGTCACCATTTTAAAATCAACTGATCGAAGTCCTCAAATATCCAAATTTGATTTTCAATCCTCTAACGATAATCACTAAGGTCATAACAAAAAAAGCTCATTTTAGCAATTAAATTGCTGTAAATAACCTCCAGGTAGTAGGTATAGACAAAGCCAAGTCTCTAACATTTTTCTGTCTACTATTTCTTTGTCTTCTGTCATCTTGCTACACATGAGGACTATTGTGTATAATGACTATCCTGGGGTACTGCCAGACCCTTCTTTATCAAAGACAGATCTGTGTTCTGTCTACTCTATTCATAAAGCAAATATGTAAGACATTTTATTTTATTTATTTTTAAGTAAACTTTATCCCCAACATGGGGCTCAAACTTACAACCCTGAGATCAAAAGTCACATGCTCTACTGACTGAGCTAGCCAGGCACCCCTACTTTAGACATTTTAGATTTTCAAAAGCACACGCTCACACTAAAAAGTGTTTATGAATAATAGAATTAAAGAGACACTATAAATCATCTCTATGAATTCAAGTTACAATGACTTATTAAAAAATTAAAACTATAGCAAGCTCTAACTTAGAGCTTCCCACCATCCCAACCAGAGTTGGAGTAGTGGGAAGTCTTAAAAATTTTAAAAAAACCTCTATAGTTGTTTGGTGCCACCAAATGAACAGAAGTTGTAGGGTAAAGCATCTCAGTTATTTGTAATGGTTCTAGGAATGGATGGTTGTATAAACACTTATGATGTGCTTAACAATGACATACCTCAGGGGCACCTGGGTGGCTCAGTAGGTTAAGTGTCCGACTCTTGGTTTTGGCTCAGGTCATGATCTTAGGGTCATAGGATGGAGCCCTACGATGGGCTCCATGCTCCGCAGGGAGTCTGCTTGAGGATTCTCTCTTTCCCTCTCTCTCTGCCCCTCCCCTGCTAGTTCTCTCTCTTTCTCAAATAAATAAATAAATTTTTTAAAAAAATGACATACCTCAATTATAAAGCTATGGTAGGTAAAACTGCAGGTCTGTGGTGAGAAGGTTGAGCTCTCTCCCCTCCACTGGATATCTTGAGGAAGGAAGGATAATTGGATTAAACAAACATTGATGAAGTGCAACTTAGAGAAATAGAACAGGAAGAATTCTGCTCTACTGTTGTCTCAGAAGAATTCATTTTCCTTTCTGGCTTCACCCCTAACTAACTGGAAGTACACTGGCAAAACATCTAGCTTCTGTGGGCTTCAGTTTCTTCTTACACTATGCAAGGAAGTTGAACTATATGATCATCATGGGCTCTTCCTGCTTTCTTTTTTTTTTTTAAGATTTTATTTATTTATTTGAGAGAGAGAATGACAGAGAGAGAGAGAGCACATGAGAGGGGAGAGGGTCAGAGGGAGAAGCAGACTCCCCGCTGAGCAGGGAGCCCGATGCAGGACCCGATTCCAGGACTCCGGGATCATGACCCGAGCTGAAGGCAGTCACCCAACCAACTGAGCCACCCAGGTACCTGCCCTTCCTGCTTTCTTTCTCTTAGGGAGAAACAGGCAATGAACTCATAATTAGTAATATAATTTCAGATAATAAGTGCTATGTAGAAAATAAAGGGGGCCAAAAGAGTTACTAGGAGTAAGGAGGTGACATTTAAGCTGAACTGAGGCATATGAAAGTGTGGGGAAAGTATGCTAGGGAGAACAGGAAATGCAAAAGCCCCAAGGCAGGAAAAAGGCCACCATGGAGGCTGGAGTAATAATAGGAAATGACATTGGGGAGGTGAGCTTATGGCAAAAAGTTTTGAGTTTGAATTTACTACTGTTGATAAAGGAAGCCATTAAATAGTTTGATGTTAGAAAGTGATCTGATCTGATGTAAGCTTTAAGACAATTACTAAGGAGTTATGTGGGGAACAGACTATAGAGAAGCAAGAGTGGGAGTAGGTAAGGCAGAAGGATGAGGATGGCGATATGGACTAGGGCTTCAGTAGTGAGCCAATGGTGAGAAACAATCAGACCTAAAACTATGTTTAGGAGAGACAAACACAAGATTTGCTAATGGATTGGATGTGGGATGTGAAGAAAAAAGACGGATAAGGATACCTAATTAATGATGTGTCAAATACATGGTTTTATCTATAGTGATAAATTAATATATGGGCTTGTTGGTAACTTGCAACAATTCAGTTGTATATGTGGCTGGATTTCAGTGGAGATGTCAAGGTTGAAAATGGAGAGTTGGGAGAACTCAGTTTATAGATGGTACTTAAAACCATGGAACTGGATAAAATCTTGAATGCTCTCACATTCACCTTTTTATTAGCTACCTGCAGAAAAATTGGATCAGGAACATTAAGTAATTCTTATTAAATTACTTCCCATGGTATTTTGAAGTTTTTTTGTGCTGATTTAATGAAGCGATACAGACAAGGAGAGAAGCTATGAAGTGTGCTTCTGAAAATACATGGTTTCAGTTGTAGTTTAATTTAAGACTTCACTGTTGGTATTTTATAACCACATAGTATTTTCCATGCATACCTTCACTTAATGTTTTCTTTATCCAACTGAAAGGGAAGACACAAGTTTTATCATCTAAATTTACTTTGATTGTATCCCATTACCATTTAGTTTCTGATCTATCCAAAGCCAATTGATTTTCAATTAAGAACAAAATTTTCTTTAATTTTAAATCCATTTAATTAATTGTTTTAATTCCAAACTTCACAGAGTTGCAAGAAAAAACTCGGTTTAAAGTTTATTCTTAATGAAGAAAACAGAAGATTGCAGAAACTGGAAACAAGCTTCTATTGTTAACAATAAGGTCTTTCTCTTTTATAATAGAATCTTGAGTTGTACCCCTATTTCCCCCTTTTTGTTAGGATTCTAAGATAAACATTTAAGTCTGCTTTACATAAATAGTATGAAAGACAAAGGTTTAATTCCTTAATAGACAAAAGTCTTTATAAATCAATAAGTAAGTAAATAATGATGCATATCCCAACAACAACAAAATTATACAAAGGATAGAATTAGGAAGTTCCCATAAAAAAGATGCCTAACCTCAATTTATGCCCACTGTACTTGGATCTTATTTTAGAATAATAAAGTCTAATTTTGAGAAATCTGCCACATAATTCTGTAACCTTCTGTAACTGGTCATACATTTCACTTTCCTTAGCTCCCTAAGCTATTTCTCTGAGTCTGCATTGTCGTCCTCATTCATCTCTGGTTTTAATCCTGATCAGCAGAATCACTTTAGATCTAAGCTGAAGGAAAGTGAGGCAGTGGAAGTAGGAAATATTGCTGGTCTTGATTATCAATCACCAATTCTGACCTCTCTCCTGCATTTTGACTTTTTTTTTTTTAAGATTTTATTTATTTATTTGAGAGAGAGAGAGAATGAGAGAGAGCACATGAGAAGGGGGAGGGGCAGAGGAGAAGCAGACTCCCTGCCGACCAGGGAGTCCGATGCGGGACTCGATCCTGAGACTCCAGGATCATGACCTGAGCCGAAGGCAGTTGCTTAACCAACTGAGCCACCCAGGCGCCCTTGACTTTTTTTTTTGATACATTTTCTAAATCTTCTTTTTGCAAACTCTTATTTTCCTGCTTTCTCATTAATCTACTTTTTGAAATTTGCTTTCAGTATTTTTTCTTACAGTCCCTTCTGCATCACTTTATATATCAAAATGTTTAAGCCTTTCTTGAAATTTCCTAAAGGGATGGGGCGCCTGGGTGGCTCAGTTGGGTAAGGGTCTACCTTCAGCTTAGGTCATGATCCCAGGGTCCTGGGATGGAGTTGGGCTCTCTGCTCAGCGGGCAGCCTGCTTCTTCCTTTCCCCCACTTATGCTCTCTCTCTCTCTCTCTCAAATAAATAAATAAAATCTTAAAAAAAAATTTCCTGAAGGGAAACCCAATTAAAATTACCACTGAACATTAATTAACATGTAAACATTTCCTTAAAAGGTGGAATAGAAATGTTTTTGAAAATTCATACCAATGAAAGGACCTTCAAAAATGACATTTTAACGTTGAAAACTGGCAGTTGCATTTAATACAAATATTGCTTCTAGCAGGTAACAGGAAAATTGCTCTTAGGATAAAAACATTTCTTTGAAGAATTTCTTAAATTGCCCTTAAATACCCAAAAGCTAGGTGTTAGAAGCTCAGAAGCTAAAAATTTATTTTTTCCTCAAAAGGGAATAAAAGATTGATCAGAGTGAGCCTGGCAGTCATGCCAAGTCTAGTTTGAAGAGGGAAGTGAAGCAGTTTCTTGGTGGAAGGCAAGGAGTTAAATGAAGCAATTCTTTCTCTCTCCTCTTTACAAAGGCACTTACTTGATTTTTTTTTTTAATTTTTTTTTGGTTAAATTCTCCTTTGATGCCATTCTACTCTATCGTAGTATCAGATCCAGTTTTGGCTATTTCTAACTTTTTACCTATGTGGTGACTAACGTATTTCTTTATTGGCTTACCAACAGGATTTAACACTCTCGAATAGACAGAGCAACTGATGGGCAGAGACATGTGGTAAGAACAAAAAGTTTTAACAATAGCTGCTGCAGTATTAGGTCCAAGGATGGTCCTCATGTGAACAATAACATTAAAATATGTTGGACCACATATTGTTCTTCTTTTACATCAGAGTAACCAACATCTAAGACAGCTGATCAACCATTACCTGGGACCCACTTACTGACAGTGGTACAGTTCTGACTTGAGCCAGGATCCTGAATGGGCCACCTCACATGCAGTAGAGGCAGGTGGACACCACAGTCCTTAGGTGAGTGCTACACCTTTGAAACAGAAGCCACCTACCCACCAACCCAGCATTTACCCAACTGACAAATCCAGATACTGGAAGCTAGTCTGCAACTATTGTAGATGTTGTTTTCCTAAAAGGAGACAGAGACAGTTTGGCTTTAAAGGACCTACCCTAGGTCTCTTCCCCTGAAACTCAGAGCCTGAACTCAGTGCTGAATTGGGTTCCCTGCTGGGCAGCAAACATTTTTTTCCATTAAGCTCTTGATCTTTTGTCCCTCAGTCTTGATGTTTCATTTTTTATTTTCTTCCTTTCAGAATCATAAATTAGTGATAGAATTAGCTAGGTTGATAATTATTGGTTAAAAAAACTAGGGGTTGAAAAAGCATATCTTGATATAACAAACTTAAAAGCAACCAAAGTAGGACTTTCTTTTAGTTTGAAAAGAAATTATTTTTGGAGTTAAGAAACTATTAAATTGAATCTCTACCAACCCACTCTCAGATAATAACCCATCAGAAACAGCATTAGAAAAAAATATATAAAAGAATGTTGATAGAGTATGTGGGCTGAGAAGACTTGGGTAAAATACAAAATGTATCCATTTGATGCAAAATAGAAATAACTATTAATTTGAACCATTTTTTTAAAAATCAAAAGCCAACTCTTCCATCAAAGTGCATTCTACAGCAAAGATACAAAAATGGACTTCTTTGAAATACTTGAGAAATTAAAGAGACAACTCTGATTTCAATCAAAGAATGAAACTTTTTCTTGCAACTTTTTTTAGGTATTATGCACTTCTGTACCCCAAAATTTATATTCTTAGATACTCATTGAGGAAGTTGGCCCAAGATAGTGACATCAGAAGACCCTGATTTCATCTCCTCCCACAGACACACTGAATCCACACCTACATACAGAGCAATTCCTCCTGAAGAAGAATTGAAGGCTGACTGAACAGCTTCTGTATAACAAATGAGAGAGGAACCACACAGAGAAGGGTGGAAGAGATGGAGAAATGATATTGATGAAAACCCCATCCCACACATACAACCTGACAACTTTGATAAGAAGGGATATCACTGAGGGGACTGTGCAAGGCTCACCCACTCTGGGGCACAAGGGGGAAAAAAGCAATGGTATAAAAGGCAACTAAAGTATAAGTGAAGGAAATCCATTTCCTAACCATAGATCCTCTGCCAAGTGGGCAGGCAAGCTGGAACTCACCAGGGTTGGAGGCACTGGAGAGTACCATCTTTTTTTACTTTCCCCTTCTACCTTGATGGGATATATAGGAACAGGGTCTAAGAGCTCGAGCCAGCCTACTAGAGCCATATCAGTGCACCCCAGATCCCTGGAACACACCAGCTCCAACCATCCCATCAAGGTCGTCCTGGATTGGTGAGCTCCAGGACCCCACTGCCAACACCTGCTGCAGCTCTAGCCATCCCACTGAAGCAGCACTGGCATGGCATGCCCCATGACATCCTCAGCCCATGCCCACTCCAGCTCCAGCCATGCCACCAGAGTGGCCCTGATACAGAGCACCCTGGAATCCCCCAGCCCAAGCCCACTCAAGCTCCAGCCATCTGCCAGGCAGACCCTGGTATAGAGTACCACAGGAACTCCCAGCCCACACCCACTCCAACTCCAACCATCCTGCCAAGGTGACTCTGGCATAGCACACCTTAGGACCTCCAGACTGTTCCTGCACTAACTCCTTGACCAGCCAAGGCAGCCTTAGTGAATGGCACCCTGGGACCCTCTAGCCCATGCCTACTTCAGCTCCAGCTAGTCCTTCAGGGCAGTTCTAAAGAGGAAAAAAAGTTTTTAGACCATGGCAACAGGACAAAAAAGAAACTTAGCTCATTTCTCCAAGGAAACTCATTGGAAAGAACATGTTCACTTGATTATGTGAATTTAAATATAATCTAAGTGCTTTAGTGTATAACCTGTAGGGGTTGTGTGTGTGTGTGTGTGTGTGTGTAAGTGTCCCCCTTATCCTAGGACACTTTTTTTGAAGATCAAAACAATGTCTAAGACAATGCCAGAAGAAAGTATTTATTACATGAAGAAAAGTTATAATTATATGACAACTTAAAACCTGTCTAATTATTAAAAGTATATTTTTAAAAATCTGAGGGTATGGGCATCTTTTAGGTTTGACATTATGGAGTATAGTCTGTACAAAACAAAGTCTTAAAATCTCAGTGTCTATAGGGTTAAAAAATCATCTAGTCCCCAAACTTCTATCATGTTTGATCCATTCCACAAAATGTCTCATCAAGGTTGTCCAGTTTCTGCTTGAACCAAGTCCAGTGAAAGCTCAAAACATGGATACCTGTATCCAGCAATGTGATAATTGTTTCATTTTCAGTCTCTGAAAATACAGTCAGTTCTCATTATTTGTGGATTCTGTACTTTAAAATTTGCCTATACACAAAAATTAATTTGTAACCTCAAAATCAATACTCACAGCATTTTCACAGCCATTCATGGACATGCACAAAGTGGCAAAAATTTCTTAATTACAGGACATGCTCCCTCCCAGCTGAGGAGCAAAATAACACTCTGCCTTCTTGTTTTACACCTCATTCTGTAAACAAATGTTCTTTCTGGTGATCTATTTTGAGCCACGTTTTGGGGTTTTTTGGTTTTTGTTTTTGTTTTTGCATTTTTGTGGGTTTTTTGCTGGTGATTTCATTTAAAATAGCCCCCAGTCTTAATGCTGAAGTGCTGTCAGGTGTTCCTAGCACAGGCTGTGCTGTACCTTACAGGAGAAAATACAACTGCTAGGTAAGCTTCATTTAGGCAAAAGGTAGAGCGCTGTTGGCCATGACTGTTGGCCATGAGTTCAATGTTAATGACTCAACAATATATATTAAATATGGTAACTTTAAACAGAAACACACATAAGACAAAGTTATTATTGATCAACTGACAAAAAGTTATAAACAGTGGCTCACAGGAACCTAACCCTGTGTTTGTCATAGTAGCAAAGATTCAATATTCACTATGCAACATTCAGTTTTTGTGCCAACATTATAGAACATTCACATAATGTGAATCATGAGAATCGACTGCACAAAAAAGCATACCACAAATACCCAGTATAGGAATGAGTATTGAACTTTCCTTTCCTTTGTGTATCTTAGTAGTCTCAAATGACAGTTTGGAACTTTAGATTCTTTCCCACTGTTGAAAAAATGCATTTTATGGTATCACTTCTAATTTCTAATGAGAAAAAAATAAATAATTACAAATCATATTACCTATGATTATTATGCCTATCAACAAGACGTCCATTGTGCTTTTTTTCGGTCAAGAATTCTTTTTTGCAAAAATAGCCATAAATTATATCCCACTGAAGTGAGTTTATAGTCAGCTCCCATGGAAGTGACAGAGAAACAGGAAAACCATATTAACCCTAGCTAGAAAATGAGTAGTGACATGATAGAGAAATATGATAGGAAGAAGACTTTTAAATCATCATTGAAATCTGTAATTCCTAATGTTTTTCTAGCATGAGAATTCAGTGGCAGTTCTTCAGAAATAACCTTCACAACCCTCTTTATTCATTTTATCCTGAATGTACATGTAAAGTATTCTGGGTCAGAGACAGATTTTTTAGTAAATTCCTCACAGTACATTTGCTCTAGTCCTTACCTTTAGAGTAGTACAATGAAAGGCATGTCAACTCTCTTATATGAGTAGCCAAACACCCATGGGAGAGATGAGAAAAATGTATTTTTCTCTCTTATAAAAAGGAAGAAATCATCTGTCCCCCCTCCCATTTTGCAAATAAAATCTCTCCAGGAGCCAGATAGCCCCTGCATGTCTCAACTTATAAGAACATCTACCTAGAGAAGTCTTCAGGTTTTGGAGCTTCATCCCTTTTTGACATGTAAATCCCCACTGAGATAGCCCTCCAGACTTCCAGGCACTTTGAGGTTTAAGCTAGGGACCTAGTCCAAGCTCTAATCAGTTGATCTTCTTGGAAAATAAAAGAAGTTTTATTATCCTTTCAAATTAGAGAAATTAAGTATACAAATGACTACAGAACTAATTTTCATGGTATGTGAGATGCTTTTTATGTTCTAAAGAGAGGTGAAAACAAACATTCTCTGATTTTATAGTTTTTAAGCTTCTGTGGCCCAAGAGCTAGAGCAGGAGCATTGAGAAATCCAGGGAAGTTTTATTTCCCCACCCTTACCATGGTCTAGCATGATAATTCAGGTCTAACCTGAATAATAGAAGAGTTAAGAGTTTGGCTAAGTTTACTTAAATGAAAATAGAAAAGATGCGCCTGAAAAGGTAGCCTGCATATATATATATGCTTCTGAGAACTAAGAGTGTCAGGTCAAGGATTTGGTATTATATTCATCCAAAAGCATTCTGATGACTTTCAAGGCCTTGTTATCCAAAGATGTCTATATATCCACTGGAGATTTCTAACAAGTGTCTGGTATATTCAAATATGAGGGAGGCTCAAAGCAGTAGTAAGTCTGTAATAAAAAAAAAGAAAAAAAAAGGAACTTCCCTGGAATAAATTCTGAAAAAGCCATGGTGTTTAGAAAAGGCTGGGGACTCTTACTCCTTGAAGTCTGATACAAATTTAGTATAATAACTTAACCACATGGACTTAGCCCAGAATGTGCCTAAAGGGGATAAACATCTCCTCAGGCTTGGCTTCTGCTGTCACCTTCACCACGCTTTTCTCTTGTAATGACCTCTAGCAGTTGTCATTCAAACCAACTGTAAATTGGACTTAGTATCAAAAGGACCAAGTGAAATTTCAAGTTTTTTTCCTTTAAAGGTTAAAATAAAACTCTCAAACTGAGGTTATGTTATTACTCCATTAAATGAAGTTAAATGGAGATCTAAATATCAGCCATAAAATCTTTCAAAATGTAAATTCTAATCCAAATTCCAAGAGGGATGTGAGATTCTTTTGAGGGACCAGAGTTTTATGAATATAAATTTTTGGTGTATCATGTGCTAAAGCTTCCTCCTTCTGTAAACAGAAAGTCTAGCAGAACACAACATAAAATAACATGAACTTTATCCATAGCTTTAATCTTTTCTTCTTGAATTTAGTTCATCAACACAGAGCCACAGGGGTCTGCCTTTATAGCCCTAACATTCTGCCTTGAGATTAGACTTGCTGATAGGAAAAAAAAAAAAAAGTCACTCTCTCATAAAATCCATATCCTCAAAATATTGAGGTAAAGAGGGAAGTGGTCCAAGATGGTAGTGTAGGAAGAGCCTAAACTCACCTCCTCCCAGGGACACACCAAATCTACAGCTACATAGGGAACAATTCCTGGTGAAAAAGAACTGAAAACTATCCATAACAAGGGATCCACAAAAGGGTCACATTGAGATGAATAGGAGGGGCAGAGGCATTTTCTCACCAAAAACCCCACCTCCAGTGCACCAAACCACAACAGGGAGTGATCTCACAGGTCTAGAGCTTTTTCCCGTGGAGTGGTAGGTTTTCACCCCAAATCAGGCAATCCAACCCTTGGGACCTGCACTGGAGAGATGGAGCTCTAAAAATGTCTGAACTTAGAAACCAATGCTGCTTACATCCAGGGGACCCAGGGGGCTGTGGGACTCTGAGAGATTCCTTTTGAAGGGCCTACAAGAGGCATCACTCATTCTGGGACCCAGTAGAAAGGCAGCAGTTTGAGAGATGACTGGATTATATGTAGAGGAGATTGATTTGCTAATCTTAAGGACTTGCTGAGGGAGTTTCTTTAGAGACAGAGGGGCTGGCA